AAAGAAATGCAATTTGAAAAGACAATGAGCTGTACTTGTTTTCCTATCAAATCTGTGAAGAGATTAAAACTAATATAAATTCTGGCTTGAGGAGGAATTTGGGGGAAAGTATGCTCCCTGCAGGTGAGAAGGATAAAGATTTGTTTCTTTGAAGAACATATTGGCAATATTAAAAAAAAAAAACAACTTAATTTTTGAGGGACCAGCAGGTGGTGTGGTGGTTAAGGCGCTGGACACTCCCATGTGGCCAACTGCAGTTTGAGTCCCTGACCTGGCGGCTTGCTTTCTCACATTCTCTCGCTTTCTCCGGTCAAATTAAAATAAATTAATAAATGAAGTTAAAATAAGTAATTGGTTTTTTTTTTTTGAAATGTTCTTCCATCTAAGGCGCGGCGCCAGACAGACAGAGAGAGACAGAGAGACAGAAAGCGAGAAATCACCCCCCAGGGGCGATGGTCACGCCGCAATCCCTTCTCCTCCATTCTCCTCTTGGGATCTTGGGCATGCACGCACACATGCCCGGCGTCAGTTTTAAGCCACCGGGTCCGGGATGCAAACCGCGGTCGACTACGTGGGAGTCCAGCGACATAGCCATTACGCTAACTGCTGGTTCCCAAAATAAGTAATTGTTTTAAAAAAAATTAGCAGCAGGTGGTGTGGTGGTTAAGAGTGCTGGACTCCATATGGCTGATCGAGGCTCTAGTCCTAGACCTGGCGGCTTGCTTTCTCACTTTCCCTCTCTCTCTGTCCCCCTCTGATCAAATTTAAATAAATAAATAAATGAAGTTAAATCCAATAACTCTTAAAAAATTAATTTTAAGAGACTAGCAGGTGGCATAGTGGTTAAGGCACTGGGCTCCCACCTGGCCAGTTGTAGTTCGAGTCTGGATCTAGGGGCCTGAAACTCAAGCCAGGCATGCATGCATGTATGCCCAAAATCCCAGGAGGAAAATGAAGGAGAAGGGATTGGGTACAGCCGTCCACCCTGGGGGGTGACTTCTCACTTTTCCTCTCGCTGTCTTTCTCTCTGGTGAGTACATGTATCCTATGACAAAAACAAAAACAAACAAACAAAAAAATTTTTTTTTTTTTTTTTTTTAATTTGAGAGAGCAAGAGAGAAGCACTTCTCAACAGGTCTGGTCATGCCAAGATCTCCTTCGCCCAGGTCTTGAGCTTCTCAGGATCGGGGTGTTTCAGGCAGGCTGTGTGACTTCCAGCACTGCAGTCCCCAGGTTACTGACTGCTCTTCAAAGGCTCGGCCCACTCTTGCCATATTACCAATGGTTTCCACTGATAATCAGGTGTTTAGATCTCAGGCTTTGCTATTTATTTTCTTGGAATTTATTTCATGGAAATGCCCATAGATGTGTGCAAACATGTATATTCCAGGAAGCATCACTATAATGGCTGGCAGAAAATTCCGTGAATATGTATTTAAAAATCAAAAAAATATATATAAAAAGCTGAAAGCCCCCCCCCCATGATGTTAATAGTGATTATTGTCAAGTTTTTTAAAAAGAATTATCTATTTATTTAATTCCATTTGTTAATATTATTTTTAAATTTGACCAGAGAGAGAGAGAGAGAGAAAGGGAAAGTGAGAAAACAAGTCTCCAGGTCTGGGACTCAAACCATGACTGGCCAGAGCCTTTAACCACCACTCCACCTGCCAGCCCTGTCAAGTTTATCTTTATTTCTTTTCTACCCTCTTTGTAACAGCATGTATTACTGACATGAACAGATAGAAAAAGAATCAAGGGGCCAGCAGGTGACGTAGTGGTCACAGTGCTGGACTCCCACATGGTCATCTTGTGGTTCAAGGCTGGGGCCCGGCGTTGTGTAAATAATGGTGGTACACGTGTGCGCACGTATTCCCAAAATCCCAGGAGGGGAATCACCCTTTGGGGGGGTGATTTCTTATTTTCTCTCTTATTGTATCTCTCTGGCAAGTGCAGGCACCTTACAGCAAAAACCTTAATGAAAAGAAAAAAAATCAGTGTTCTTTCAAATGTTTATATACTTTGAAATAATACTGCATGTTAACTGATAAAAGTAGAATCAAAGTTTAAACACAGATCTTCATTATGTAAATTATATGCTCAGGAAGACAATTTGGAAGAAAATCCACATGGTTACCTGCTGGTGAATGAAAACGGATCTCTTTTCTTTTTTTGTACTTACCCGTGTTTCCAGTTGTATTACGGAGTTACGTATTACACCTTAACAAAAAATGTATTTGTAACCTCATCCTAAGTGGCCTGCCGACCGCAGAGCTAGTGTGCGCAGGTGAGACGCGTGTGCGGACGCGCTGCCGCAGAGTCCTGGGCTGCCCGCTCTGCCGCACCGCCAGCTTCCGCCGCGCCTGTGTGCTGCCTCACTACCCTCAGCGCCGCTCAACAGCAAGGAACCGCGCCTGCGGAGCCTGGTGCTCCTCAGCCCCCGAGTCCCCGCGTCTTCCTAGTCCGGCCCGCGCCTCTGTCAAGCTGCAGCTGGGCTGCGGAGAAACCCCACCCCCGTGCGCCGGCGTCTCGCTGGCCGTGGTGGGGCTTTTGCGCCCCCAGGCGCCTGGATAGGAAACTGCATGTGCCGGTCCTCCGAAGACAGGCGACTCCATGGACTCCCAAGCCCTATACCCAAGCCCTACTGGGGCCTGGGTGTCTTCATCAAAGGCTGGGAGAGAAGGGTTTCCCGCTTTGAAGCTGTCCCGTCCAGTCAAGGGTCCTTTTTTCAAGCTACCCCCCACCTCGTTTTTTGTTTTTTTTTTTTTCAGTCATTCCCTAGAAGTACCAAGGGGTCTCAGTCTACCTGGAATCGGGTTTCCCACCTGACTTGAGACAACTGTCTCCCTCTCCCTCTCTCTCTCTTTTGGAGAAATTTTTGCTATAGGGCACGTGCGCTGGCCAGAAAGGCAGAGAGACAGACAGAAAGCAAGAAATCATCCTCCCAGGGTAATTTCAAAAACCTTGGCTTTTGTTACTCTCCTGCAGATCCCACACCACAATCCCTTCTCCTCCATTCTCCTCTCGGGATCTTGGGCACGCACATGCGCCCGACGTGAGTTTAAGCCACCCGGTCTGGGACTCGAACCGTGGTTGACTACATGGGAGTTCAGCGACACAGCCATTATGCCAACTGCTGCTCCAGCTCTTCTTTTTTTTTTTGAGAGACTTTTGCTATAGGGCAGGTGTGATCTCCAGAAACACAGACAGAAAATGAGAAGTCACCCCCCTCCCAAGGGGAGGTGGCCACGCTGCAATCCCTTCTCCTCCATTCTCCTCTCTGGATTTTGGGTATGCACACACACATGCCAGCATGAATTTAAAGCACCGAGTCTAAGACTCAAACCATGGTCAACTACGTAGGAGTCCTGTGATGGAACCATTATGCCATCTGCTGGTTCCTCCTTTCTCCTCTTATTAATTTTGCTTTTTTCAACCTTTTCTCCCACAATCCCAGACATGACCCTTTTCTTGGTGATTTTTGGTTGTAAGCTCAACTCTCTGCCCAGGAAATATTAACTTACATTCCACCATTCCTGGAGGTGGGACCCCTGGGATCCCTGCCACCTGCTATGTGGCCTTGAGCTTGTTGACTGAGTTCTCATTTCCAGGGGCGGAGGGCGATAAGTTCAGGATGAGGGTCAAACGAGAGTGCAGAGATGTGCTGGATTCATTTCTCTGTCCCCCACACCGAGCACGACTGTACGAAGGGACTCAGCAAACTCCTTCACAGAGTAAGTCCTACTCTTCCTGCCACCACCCTCCTGCCCAGCTTCTGCTCCCTACTCCCCATCTGTCCTTGCCCCAGGTCCTGAGAGGTTGCCGTCCTCAGAGGGGGTCCATATGGTATGTCTTGGCGTCTGTGCTTAGCTCAGGGCTGGCACGCAGAAGGTGTGGATAAGTGTGGGTTGGACAGAGGAGTTGGGAAGGAAACACCCCCTTTGGGGTTCTCTTTCTCAGGACTTGCACGGGAAGAGCCCACAGTGGGTGGGTGATGCTGTTGAATCCTGCCCCACTGCTTATCACTAAGCGCCCGGATATGCACCAGAAGTGCTCCGGGCTCCACCTCAAGTGTTCTCGCCTCCCCTGGAGCAGGGCCGAGGCAGGACGGCACTGCACGTGAGGACGCGGTGACCAACAGTGCACTTGTGTCTGCCCATTGGAACACACGGTGACGCCCACCAACAAAGACAGACACCACAGAAGCCAGGGATAGAAACAACTAGTGTATTGATTGGGGAGGGGAGAGGGGGTGCAGATGGGAAACGGGGAGGCGAGGGGATCCTTAGTGTTTCCCAAACCCACTGCCACATACCTCCCTCCTCTGCGGTGGGGCCCCAGCAGGCTCTCACCTATTCCAGCAGCTTCTCTCTCCCTCCCCACTGCACCCCACTTGACTCTGACCTCCTGCGACTGGACGGAGCCCACCCAGCTCTAAAGCTGGGAGAAGGCAGGCTCGAGCTAACCCCCCTCTGTCTTCTACCTCCTACCTCATTCCCATCTCTTGTCTAAACAGAATACACGAAAAGCAAGCGCAGCTGGGTCCTGGGAGTCGGCTCCCCCAGGGCCGGGCAGGGCTGGGGACAGGGTGGGGGCAGGCAGAGGAGCCTCGGCCAGGGGTCGTGGAACCTGGGCGGCCAGGTCTCTCTCGCTGTCTCTCCGTCCCTCTCTCTCTCTCAGAGGCTGGCCTGGCCTGAGTCAGCTGTCTGGAGGAGGCTGGGGGAGCTCTCTGCCTGCCTCTCAGGCACCATGTCAGGGGTCCCCGGGGTGGGGGCAGCAGCCAGGGCAGAAAAGCGAAAACTAGGCTCTGGAAAAGCACCTGTTTCCCTGGGCTCCTAGAAGCCCTCTTTGGTTTTAAGGCAAATGCAGTTTCTTGGAAGCAGGAAAAAGGAAGCGGGAGAAACTAGGATAGAGATAGATGCTTTTTTTTTTTTTTTTTGGCTTGTGTTTTTGCTTCAGTATAAAACCACTGTAGAAAATAACTTCTCTTAGAAAAAAAAAAATACAGAAGAAAAAAACCAAAGGGGCATTTTTCTTTGGCTTTGAAGCACCTCCCATGAGGCCCAGGGCAGGGGTTGGGCATGAGGTGAGGAGGAAGCAGGAGACATCCACCTCACCCCTGCCTGGCAGGTCCCAGATTACATGATGCTGCAGTTCTGGGGTTTCTAAGAGAGAAGAGAGAGGGGCAGGTGTGAGTGCAGGGCCTGGACCAGATCCTGATCCCAGAAGGCAGTGTCTCCCCACCCTCTGGCCCCAGCCTTGCCCCTGCCCTCCAGTCTGGGGCTCAGACAGGAGGGGCAGGAGCCAGCGGTAGGACTTGGAGGAGGGTCCCGCTCCGCCGGGCTGCGGAAGAGAAGGCCCTCCCCAACAGAGGCCACCAGTCCTAACCCTCCATGACGAGGGTCCTGCCTGTAGGACGTGAAGACAAAGAGACAACTCACCTGGGTCCGGGGACTGGAGTTGCCCAGGAGGTAGGAGCGGGTGACCAGACTGTCCCCGAAGCTGCCACCCCCACTGCCCCCCACACTGCGGTAGCTGCGAGTGACTGTGACACTGGAGGCGGAAGAGCCAGAGGAGATGGATCCGCCCACCTGGGCTCCCGAGCCGCTGGCAGACGCCTTGTCGGCAGGCTGCCCGCACGTCCCGCACAGCACGGTGCGAGATCGCAGGTTGTACTCAGCCGGGTCCCCCGAGCTGCTGCAGTGGGAGCCCTGGGAAGGGAGACGAGGCTCAGGTGGCGGCGAGTCTGGGACTGACTGCCCGGGCCCAACACCCAGGCTGCGGGCTCCTGCAGACCCCCAGTCGCCAGGCAGGAAGGTGGGGTCTGTGCCCGGAAGAACCAGAGGGCCACTGGGAGGCCATGGGCTGAGCTAGGGGTGGGGACGGCAGGGGGGAGGGGAGGAAGTCTTGGGGACAGAGAACAGGATTCCTGGCTTGGACTGTTCTAGGAACTCTAAGCTTAAGAAGAAAAAGAGAGAGGGCCAGCAGGCATGCAGATTAATTCGTGGGGGGGACGGGAAGGAGGGCAAACGCTTTAGTAGGAAACGTGAGGCGAGTGAGAGGACATGCATGCTACAGGAGTGAAGAGGGGAGGAGAAGGGAAATGCATGCAACAGGCATGGGGGGAGAGAGGCGGGACTGGCGCCCCACGTCTGTCCTCCCAGCCCCTTCCTGGGAGGCAAGTCCAGACCCTTGTCCACTGTTCCCATGGGAGTACTCCTTGGCACCAGAAAGTTCCCACTCCCTTCCTTACCAGAGGAGGGCACCCAGACACCTGGGTTCCCTGTTCAAGGTAGAGGGAGGAGAGAGAAGAAAGGCCAGGCCAGCCAGTAAAGTTCCAAAACATTCTTTAATGAAAAGCTTTTTGGCATGGGCAGGCTGGGGAGAGGCCCCCCGGCCTGGCTGGGTGGCCCAGTGTGGGTGGGGCCTCAGCTGCGGG